AGAATTCCACTTAGGATTATTAGAGGAAATAAATCAGTTGGAGAAGGAAGTAGCTTGGGGTTCCTTGAAGATTTTTCTATTCCTCCAGCCTTCTCATTCAACGATATAATAGAACTAAATGAGTCTTTGGCCAAACCACAATTATAAGTGGGTAGCTTGACTCTCCTATCAAAATCACTGTGCTGCTCTTTGTTTATCTCTAGATGCCATTAACTTAGCATTTCTTCAAGTGGCTGGGGAAGCCGCCTTCTTTACATAAGTATTGTGAGAAGTTGTCTTCAGAATTAATGCAGACTTTCATTCAGATATTGCCCTTACACCTGCTGTTATCCTTGCAAAAAACTTCTCATTGAGTGTGGCTGATCTCGGGTGACATGGCTATTTCTGATGTTTGGGCTGGTAACATAAAGAATTATTCTGGAGATAAATTCTGAACCAAATATACAGGGTGAGAAGAACATAGCTGTCTGCACACTCAGCAGATGGGACTTCAGATGAAAGGCTTTGTGTGATAGATCTCCCATTCTCTTGCCAGAATTTCCCTCTCTCCAGGAAAGAAACTCCTTTCAGTAGTTCTCGAAGAAGAGCAGCAGTGGCTAAACTTAATGCAGTACAAAAGTCATACGTGTGCTTAGAAGTCTTAGTGACATTTTCCAGTCGAACCTGTCAATCCAGCTGAGTTGATAAAGTGAAGCTGGCTCTCGTATCTCAGCACCAACCACTCAAATGGGAAAGAGCTCTTCCTAAGAACAATACTCTTTGGACTATTGTTTTCCAAAGAACAATAGCATATTGGTTTTTGTTATGGAATACATCTTTGCACGTGCATAAATTGCAGCCTCAGGCCTCCGCTCATATGAAAAGTGACTTTGGATTCCTATTTGTTGACGTCAGAATACTTCATCTGGATTCTAGATGGAAGCTTGTCAGCTATTACTTTACTATACTGTGAAATACAGAATAGAAAGTAAAACAGGCAAAGAATGATACATTTTGTGCAGCCCAGTTTCCTGGTTTTGGGATATGATGAAAAATGTCTGCAGTTTGCCTTTCAATAAACTGAAAGAAATGAAAGGTGTCTTCAGATTGTGTAGTATACTTGTATACTTTTAAGAATAATAATTTAATCCCATGCTCTTAACCAACAGTAATTCATAGTTTGTCTATTGCAAATAGAAATTCTGGGAAAGTTAACATTTAAAATTACCGAATTTTAAGTTATCTGACTTAAGATGAAAATATGCTGCAAGATTTAACTTTGTACAACAAAGCTTGTTGCATTTTAGAGTTGAATTTTTTACAATTCCTTTGTTTACAACTGCATTTAGCTGCACGGATATTGTCCATAAACATGTCAAGAACAAAGAGTAGGAAAGTAGTCAAATTTGCAATTAAATGCAGGTAAAGCCAAAATTGGGGCAGCTGACTCTCACCTATTTTTTTCCTCCTGGCTACTGAAAACTAGTATCATTAAAACCAGAAAATAATCTAAATGGTTGTCCTCCTAGCTGTTGAAAAACCTGTGATCTTAGTGATACTGCTGTTTGTTTTCTTACCAAAATACAGTGTTTTACTATAGCGCATAATGAAGATGGACAAACAACGTGCACTGCAGGTCTGAGTGTGCTCCCAAGAGAGGCAATTTTAGTCTTCAACTGCCAGTAGAAAATTTATGATTCGTTCCAATGAAGTTATAATGGTGAGTGTGGGAATATGTCCTAGTATTAGCTTCCATAAATTACAGATTTAAATTTGAGATCAGGCATTCTGAAGCACCATATAGTAATAAACCCAAAACTTAGTATCTGACAGCATGGTAAACTTTGCAAAATAATTGTGCAAATACTCAAAACATTTGCGGTCGCTTTTGGAAGTATCACATCAGTAATCAGTAGCTTATTTAACAAATTGTTAAATGACAATTTAGGTATCAGTGTCAAAATCAGAAACAAAACTTACAAAATCTGCAATTCTTGACATTTCTATGTATCTTACGGCTGCATAGTTTTAATTGTATTGTTCTAAAAGAAATGATGTCTTGAAACTCCGATTCTAATAAGACTCCAACTCTTCAGCAGAGACCTATTTCATTTTTTATGGCAGTAGGAACCAGTGTTAGCCAGCATTGTACAATGTTCTTGTATTCCAACATTACACCTGTAAGTCAATTTTCATACTCTGTGTTTCGTTTTAGCTTGATCTTTTTAAAAAAAAAAAAAAAAGTAAAAAAAAAAGTGTTCTTCAGCGATGGTGCCCAGAACATCATTAATTGTCATCCTTTGTGTGACAATTGCTTTGAAAGTAATTTAGTACACAGCGATTTTTTTCTAGTGTTTCAAGGCAGGTGTTCCAACTGACATAGTTTCTTATACCTATTTAATAAGGTTTTCCTTGCCACCTCTTGTCTGATACTTCTGCTGTCTCCTTATGCAGGCTAATATTTTATGCTGAGAAGCTGTGTCTGCATTTCTTCAGTGCTGAAGATGCCTGCTCTATTGTTATCAAGGTGATACAGCAGTATAAGTTCCTTTGAGAGAACAAAATGGTAATCAGTCCTAACATTATATGTAGGTTTCTGAGCTA